CTTATAGATTGATAGGATTTTTAGTTTAAGGTCTTGATGCTAAAATTTCATAAAATAAACTATATGTAATATTTACATAATAGTTGAAGTCCTTTAATATTTTCACAAAGAAATTTGAGCTCTTCAAAAAAAAATTTAGCTCATCCCAAAGAATTTTTCTATGATGAGCTTAAATTTCTCTAATAATATTATTGAAGGACTTTAATTAATAAGAAAGAACATATTGAACATCTCCTACTATCAAAAGTTGAAGAGATGTTTCACTAATTTCTCCTTAATTAATTGAACAAAAATGTTTAATAGAATTTAAACATTCTTCAAATCTTGCTAAGACATTACATTCACATGAAATGCAAGAAAATTAAACAAAATAAAAATAAAATAAAATAAAATTCATATAATTGACTAATGAAAAAAAAAAAAAAAAGAGAGAGAGAGAGAGGGAAAATTGCATTTCAATAGACAAATGGAGAAATAATTTTATTTTTATGATCATTCTTGTATGTATATGGTGCAAATCATTTCATATGCTTAGTGCAATTCTTTGTTGGGTGTTAGAATTACACCACAATTTTTTTTTCTGCAATTGTTAAATGAGTGTCTCACGTATTTCAAATTTTCACAAAAGAAAGGTGCAAACTTACATTATGTTACTATATTTAAAGAGAAATTATACAAACACTCAAAAGTTACATATCATATTTTTTTTTAAAAAAGAAAAAGAAAAAAAGAAAAAGAAAAAAAAAAGACGAGGATAAATTAAACTGACCTTCTTTTAGATTTAAGTTTGGTTTGAATTTTTTGAATTAAGTTTTTTAAAAACTCAGTTTTTTTATTTTCTTGTTTTTTTGTTTTTAGTGAATATTTTTAAAATTTTAAATATTTTTTTTACTTTTTTAGATGCACCTTACTTAGATGTATCTAAAAGGAAAAAAATTGTAAAAAATTTTTTTAAATTTTAATAAATACATAAAAATACAAAAAAACGTACTGAATTCTCATATTTTTTTTTATATTTTTGGTATTTAGTGAATTTTTAAAAGATTTTTTCACAAATTTTTTAGTTTTTAAGTATGTTCATGTTAGATATGTCTAAAAAGTAATAAAAAAAAATTGCTTCAAATATTAAAAAAAATCAGTAAAAACAAAAAAAATACGAAAAACAAAAAAGTAAAATTTTTTGAAAAGTGTTTTTGAAAAAATACAACCAAGCAATAAATTTCGTAATTTTTGTCATAATTACACCCACTTCTCTTTTAATAAAACTAAAGCGATTAAACTAATATAAATGTAAAGGCACAAAGATAAACAACGTAAAATATATATTTTTATGTAAAAAAGATGCCATCACTTTGATATTCGTATGACTGACAAATTTTTAATGACTATTATATTTTTTTCAAATCTCAAGAGAGATCAATGTAAGGAAAATTTTGTTTGCACGCCGCATCAAATCTCAATGTCCACTATTTGTGTCATTTGGATATAAATTTTCAAACAAAAATTAACTATTCAAATCTAAACTTATAAATAAAAATGAATTATTCAAATATAAGAATGTTTACTGAGATTTTGTGTTATGTATAAATAAGATTACCGTCAATGCAATTTCCCATTAAAAAAAATTAATATGACTCGTTGACTATATCATTTTCAAGCATAATCGAAATAATCTAGTTACAGACACCATTTTTTTATTACATTTTCTATCACCTATTCACAATGAAAATGGGGCCCACATGCGATAGAAAATGCCATAAAATAAAATTTAAAAAAGGATAAATTACACCCACACCCCCTTGAGGTTTGTTATTAATACAGACTTTCTCTTGAGATTTCAGAAATTACAATACTCTAATTACAATACTCTCTTAATCAGAATTTGTTGACTAACATCGAGAGCTTCTATCTACACACACCTAATCCCCTCTATACACACACTTAATAATATTTAATTTTATTACAATTTTATCCCTAAGTGAAATTACTATTTTAGACATCTACCCAATTCAAAAGTCTCAATGCACACATCCAGACTTCACGTTAAAGCTCCAAGTTCAGCTTCTTCCATTGAGGTAGAAGTGAATGCACTCATTCATTAAGCTCGAAGTTCAGCTGCTTCCATTGAGCTAGAAGTGAAAGCACTCACTCGTTAAGCTCAAAGTTCAGCTTCTTCCATTAAGTTCCAAGTTCGTAGCTTCTCAACCTTCCTCATTCGTAGCTTCAACCTTCCTCATTCGTAGCTTCTTCCTTATTCATCATTGTTATGGAGGATTTGCCTTCTGAAAATCAGCAAATAAGTGTTTATGTGAAACAGAACGAAGGAAATGTGAGTTTCTTTTTCTTTTTTCTTTTTTCCAGCGTCGTTCGGATAACCAGAGTCGAATTGTGTTATTTGGTTCGAAAATCTACTACCGAAATAATTATTTATTTTCAGAAGTTGTTGTCCGAACAAAGTAATAAATTTCAAAAGTTGTTGTCCAAACAAAGTATTTAAATTCGGAAGTTGTTGTCCGAACAAAGTTAACTTTTACAACATTCAACTTCCGAAATTTGAAAATAAATTCAAACAACTACTTCCGAATGAAGTAAGGGGTTGTTTGGGATGATCTAAATAAGTGTACTTTTTGTCTTTTTACGAAAAAATGTGCAGAAAAGTAGAGAGGTGATGTGATGAAAAAAAAATAAAATGATGGATTATTTAGGGGATGCCAAACCACCCCTAAATTTTTTTTTTCCCATTTTATTTTCCAAATTTGCAAACTGCATACCAAATTTACAGTTTCAAATTGCAAATTAATCTTTATAATGCCATAAAAAATTTGTAATGTTATACAAAACATGCAAGAATATGTGTCAACTCAATGAAGTCAGGTTTGTGCGGATTTTGTGTTGGATTACACCACTCAATTCACAACTGAACAGATTCACTCTACGAAATTATAACGATTATGTTTCGAATCTAATGGGATGCAATCCACTCAAAAGTAAACTCACCTAATGAAGATTGAAAATGTGATGGAATGCTTCAACGAGATGCAGCTTCGTGGATGAAATGCTTCAATGTATTTGCACACTTGGGTTGCACACGGTAAGCTTCTATGTGATGGAATGCTTCAATGTATTTGCATACGGTAAGCTTCAATGGGTGTGTATATCCTCAAGGTTGAAGATGTAGCTTCAGCTTCAATAGGTGTGTGTATTTGCACTGTTGGGAGAGCTGGGTTTGGGGTCGGGGGTGTGTGTGTGTATGAGGGTAGATATGGAATGAACCGTGTGTGTAGTGAGTAAACTAATTAGGAATTAATTTTTTTGGTGTGTGTAGTGAGAAGGATGTGCAAAGAGAGTATTTGGTGTGTGTAAATAGATGCTCCCACTAACATCTTAACAGAAAAATTAAAATGACTATATTACCCTTTCATGTCATCTCCTTTGTATTGCACCACAATCTGATGTAAAACAAATGTTGAGATTGCTTTCATGGATGTATTGACAGAGATCATCAATATTATGAATAAAAATTTAATCTTGCAACCCCTCAACCATAACAACTGGCCACTACTGTGAATAAGAACCTAATCTTGCAACCCTCTCAACCCATAACAACTGGCCACTACACATCACTACAATATTTTATACTCTTACAACAACCTCACCCCCTACCACCAACCACCACAATTCGTCCGACTCGTTGCCAAACCCTAGATAGTAATATAATTCAGCTCCCAAAAAACAAAACAAAAATCCATACAATTGCCTTTAGGAATTACTTCAAACACTTGGTATGCACCTCCACCAGTTACCCCCAAACAATAATATATAAAATCCTGAGCCGTATGATCAATCAAACAATAAATAAATAAAATCAAAAACACAAACAAAGAAAATCAGGTATAGCAATTTCTAAATAATATCATTCTTCTTTATTTATTTATTTTACATAAGCCTTATTATCAATCCATGCGAGCATGCTTTTTGACCCAATGTGCTTGTTGAACCAGTGTTATGTTGTTACCCAAAATTAGAGAAGCTCAATTAATGAATTCTTTAATAAAATTCAAAACAGCAACAACACATTAGGAGTTTATCTAGTGAATGCTGTGGAATCCAATATCATCAAACTGGGTTTCAATCCAAGCACTTTTCAATGCCTTTCAAATACTCCAAATAAAATCTCAAATCAAAACCCAAAATTATATATATATAGAGAGAGAGAGAGAGATAGAGAGAGAGAGAGAATGAATGGTGATGGTGATGAGAGCAAAGATGGAGAGACGGTGTCGTGGTGGTGTAGAGATTTTTAAGATGGGTGATGACTGAGATTTGGGTTTCAAGGGATCATAGCCATGATCCATTTACAGACGAGCCTGGCCCAGAGATGATGGTTTCCGCGGAGGATCTCTCCATAGGGTAGCGGATGCATGCGGTGGCTACGAAAATGATCTTTTGTGGCTTGGTGGTTGTTGCAGATGGTAGTCGGTGATGATAGGTGATAGTCTCCGAAGATAACCTTGGTGTTTGTGGTAGTTGCTTTGTGAGGGAGGAGATGGATGAGAGTTAAGCATAGAGAGAAGATAATGGGAGAATATAAAAGAGGAAAGAAAGTACAGAGTTGTTAGAATAGGATGAGGGTTTGTAAAGATGAGGGTAATATAGTCTTTTAAAAATTTTGAGGCCGTGACATCGGGTGCCTCTATTTACACACCATGTTTCATCTCAAGACAGATCATTAATTAGTTTATTTTTTATTACAATATTAACCTAATGTAAAATGATCATAAAGGACAAATGGCTATGATACACACCTTATGTAAAATTACCATAAAAGACAATAATAAATACAATACACACCTCTCTTCTGAAACGTTACTTACGTATTTTCTCTCTCAAGAACCCAAAAACCCTGAAACAAAAAGCAAAAATCCTTAAAGAAACAACCAAAAATATATGTATTATTGAAGATTTTGATTGGACTGAATGATTGATGCATTTGGCAATATTGGTTTGGAACAATGGAGCAAGGAAAACGTTAGTTTTTCTTTCTTTTTTTTTCCCATTTTCGTGTACTTGTTGAGTGGTAAACCGTTTGTATTTGTTTGGATATTCAGATTCGAACAATGTACTCCTGTTTGACTATCTACAACCAAACAAGTTCTAATTGTTCGATTTTCTAGTGTCGAACATAGTCCACATGTTCGGTTAATAAGTTCCGAACTTATAACATTTGTTCAATTTTCAACAGTCAAACTTTTGAATTTAGCTCGACTCTGTATTTTTGAACACTTATAACACTTTTTTTTTTGTTTTTCCAGAACTGTGCATCCATGGAAGGCAGTAATGTTGGATTGAGTGTCTTGTTGACTACACAAGCCAATTTATTACTAAAACCCTAAAATTTAAGCCAAATAAGAATTCTCACCTATTATATCTCCAATATGAAGTTGTTTCCAACTGTGATGCTCTGGAATGACAATGAAACAAAGAATGAAAGGGGACGTTGTGTGTGTTTTTGTTAAAATCCACCTACTCTCCACCTACTTCACCCACTTAAACCTACTCCACTAAACCTAACCCACTACACCACTACCACCTCACCTACTCCACTACACCTAACCCACTACACCACTACCACCTCCACTTCACCTACTCCTTACCTACTACACACTCACCCTCTTCTATATATAGGAATCATGAATCATTGTAATAAATATCAAAATATATCAAAATATATCAATCAATAATATACATCAATTAATTTTACATGGTATCAGAGCAGGTTTAGAACCTAATATTTTCGCTTCCCCGGCGGGCGGCAACCTCACCTTAGCTGCCCGCCGGACCTCAACCTAGTCTGCTAAAATTTTCTACACATACCTTAAAATTTCCTTTCTTCAACCTGCTGAGTGCACAAAACACATAGACACATACAATTCTCTCTCTCTGTGGTTTGATCAAGTTAAGATATGGCTGACGAAACCCAGAAACCGGCTGCTCCGGAGACCCCCGCTACTGTACCCCCCAAAACCCTAACCCTAGCCTCTCTTCCGTTCTCTCCACCACCAGCAGAAATGGCCCCTGCTCGCCCTCTCGTCTCCGTCCATTACACTCTGTCTCCTCCGGATTCTGTGGATCCAACTCATGGGATTGGGCGCACAAGAAAACGAAAACAACCAACCCCTGTTAATCTCAGCACCATACCAAGCAGAACAAGAAGCAGATCTCTACAACCAGCAACAAGAATCCAACAGTGGGAATTTGATCAGACGGACATGGGTAGAGTCAAAGAAGATGTGGCACATTGCTGGACCCTCCATTTTCACCCGCCTCACCATGTTCTCCCTCACCGTCATCACTCAAGCATTCGCCGGTCACCTCAGCGATCACGACCTCGCCGCCATCTCTATTGTCACCACCGTCATCATCGGCATCACCTTCGGCTTCTTGTTTTGGGACTGTCTTGCTACGTGGGTTGTGGTGGGTGTCCTCAGTCTTGGACTGTTTTTTCCGAACAAGCTTTTGTTGGGCTTTGGGATTTCTTCAAACTGTCTGTGGCTTCTGGGGTCATGCTCTCGTTGGAGAATTTTTATTATAGAGTGTTGGTTATAATCTCAGGGAATATGAATCATGATGAAGTGCAGTCAGTGGTGAGGCGCATTAAGAAGGACGTGAAGAGGGCACCAATGATGAAGACCCTCGAAACCCGGAGCCGTCCTTGCCGAGATAAAGGCTTCAGTTCTTGGAGAATATAATATCAACCCCACTCCACTTTCTTTTCTTTTATTATTTCTATGTATATGTTTATTCTCATCTATTCTTCAAAGCACACCCACCATGGTTTATTTATTACACCACCAATCCTCACCCGGCACCCCCATTCCTTTTTATTATTAGAGACCTGACTTGCACCTCCTCGGCCAACCCATTTCCCTTTTCTTCTTATTATTATATACACATTTTCTATTCTCCATTATGCTCCACTCACCACTATCATCACATTTTCCCACTTTTTCAAACCCACTTTAATCATATCCCTCCTTTCCCTTACTTTCTTCCACCCACGATTTCACCATTTTCTTTTCTTTTAATATATATATATATATATATATTTTATTATAAAAAAAAAAAAAAACATACACCCTTGTTTTTCTTATCTCCCCCATCCACAAATATTTTTCTCTATTTTCTTTATCCATTGTTTTATTTTATTTTATTTTTCTTATTACACAAAACAACATTCACAAAATCACACCAACAACATTCCACCACCTTGTCATTTTATTCATATCAGGGGCTCAACCCCGATCACACTTTTACACCACCACAAAAACAAAAAAAAAACAAAAAACAAAAAACAACAACAAATCAACCACATCCACAGGCAGGATTTTCTTCTCTACTCTGCCGCCGGTCTTTTCTTCTTGCCTCCGTCCTAGGCGGCCCTTGCCGGTGTTGCCTCCGTGTTTCCCACTCCACTGGTCATGATCACTACTCCCTGCTCCTCCACTGCAGCATATGGCGGCCCTCCAAATCGGAACATCACGGTGGCCTTCCGTTTCAGCTCCGAACAGTGGGATTTTTCTTCTCTACTCTGCCGCCGATCTCTTCTTCTTGCCTCCGTCCTGAGCGGCCCTTGACGGTGTTGCCTCCGTGCTTCCCAGACCACTAAGCAAGTTGCCTTCTCCCTGCTCCTCCACTACAGCATATGGAGGACCTCCAAATCGGAACATAACGGTGGCCTTCCGCTTCAGCTCCTTATTTTCTGCTTTCAGCATACTTATCTCTGTTCGCGCATCCTTATACATGCGTTGGAGCAGAGCCAGTTGGGCGTTTAAATGCTGCACCTCATTTGTCCTACTCTGCAGCCGGTGCGACAAGTTTGTGACCGCAGTCATGGTTTCTACGCATGACTTCAAGGTATACTGATTGGCCTCAATATCAGTTTGCACCGCCATTTTTTGCTCCACAGACCGCATCGAAAAGTTCAACGGAGCAAAACCAGAGGTGTTTGGTTGAGGTTCACTGGCCACCGCACCAGTTATCTCTCTTGTTGACTCGTTGAGGTCGGGAAAGAGAGTGAGTAGACCACGGGATGAAGAGGCCATATTCTGGGTAGCTGAACGGGAAGACGAGGCCATGTTTTGGGTTGCTAAGTGTTTCAGACGGATAATGTCCGAAAGGGTTGTTACAGAGTGTTTCAGATGTTACAGATTGTTTCAGGGTTTACAGCTCTTAGAGAACAGCTCTCAGAGAATGAGGAAGTTTCAACTAGTTTGTTCTGCCTCAGCCTCAGCCTCCGCTTCGGTTTATAAAGACCATGATGAAGAGGCAGCCACGCGTATCGCGCGCCACTTGACGCCAGACGACAAACGGGCGCGCCAGTCAAGGCACTCACGTGCCTTGCCATCATGTCCGGCACATCTTTTTATGACTTTGGCTCGCCTTTTGATGGCACGTCTTTTTATGGATTGGGCACGCCTTTTGATGGCACGCCTTTTGAAATACTTTCAGAGAAGGACTGGGCAACAGAGTGTTACAGCGTATCTCTCTCAGAAAAGGAAGAGTTTTTTTCAGAGGATTTTAGCAGGTTTTTTTGTCTCAGCCTCTGCCTCAGCCTAGGTTAAATAGCCAAGGCAGTCACGCGCATCGCGCGCCACTTGACGCCAGACGACAAAACGGGCGCGCCAGCCAATGTGGTCACGCGTCTCGCCATCATGTCCGACACACCTTTTTATGGAATGGGCGCGCCTTTTGATGGCCCGTCTTTTGATGGCACGCCTTTTGATGACACGCTTTTTGATAGATTGGGCACACCTTTTGAGGGTGCGACTTTTTATGGGTCCGACAAGACTCTGTAAACTGTCCCGACATTGATTCCGGTTAGCTCCTTCATGGGTCCGACTCTGTAAACTGTCCCGACATTGATTCCGGTTAGCTCCTTCATGGGGCCGACAAGACTCTGTAAACTGTCCCAACATTGATTCCACAATAATAAATACAATACACACCTCTCTTCTGAAACGTTACTTACGTATTTTCTCTCTCAAGAACCCAAAAACCCTGAAACAAAAAGCAAAAACCCTTAAAGAAACAACCAAAAATATACGTATTATTGAAGATTTTGATTGGACTGAATGATTGATGCATTTGGCAATATTGGTTTGGAACAATGGAGCAAGGAAAATGTTAGTTTTTCATTTTTTTTTTTTTTTCCATTTTCGTGTACTTGTTGAGTGGTAAACCGTTTGTATTTGTTTGGATATTCAGATTCGAACAATGTACTCATGTTTGACTATCTACAACCAAACTAGTTCTAATTGTTCGATTTTCTAGTGTCCAACATAGTCCACATGTTCGGTTAATAAGTTCCAAACTTATAACATTTGTTCAATTTTCAACAGTCAAACTTTTGAATTTAGCTCGACTCTGTATTTTTGAAAACTTATAACACTTTTTTTTTTGTTTTTCCAGAACTGTGCATCCATGGAAGGCAGTAATGTTGGATTGAGTGTCTTGTTGACTACACAAGCCAATTTATTACTAAAACCCTAAAATTTAAGCCAAATAAGAATTCCCACCTATTGTATCTCCAATATGAAGTTGTTTCCAACTGTGATGCTCTGGAATGACAATGAAACAAAGAATGAAAGGGGATGTTGTGTGTGTTTTTGAAGTGGAGGTGTAGAATATGGAAGATTGAAGATTGTGAGTGGGGTGTGTGAGTAAGAGTAAAGATGGAGGATTGTGGGTGGGGTGTATGAGTAAGGATAAAGATGGAGGATTATGCTATATATTGAGCAAATTTCTTATTTATCAAATTACTAAAGGTGTGCTATATCAATCAATAATATACATCAATTAATTTTACAGTTTTTGAAGTGGATGTGTAGAATATGGAAGATTGAAGATTGTGAGTGGGGTGTGTGAGTAAGAGTAAAGATGGAGGATTGTGGGTGGGGTGTATGAGTAAGGATAAAGATGGAGGATTATGCTATATATTGAGCAAATTTCTTATTTATCAAATTACTAAAGGTGTGCCTTGAGTAATGGTGTGCCTTGAGATGAAAAGTGATGTGTAAATTGAGGCACCCCCCTGACATCGTCAATTGCTGTTTAGTTTTTAACAGTCGCTTAATGACAAGGGGCTCCTTGTAATATGATTGGAAAACTTGGGGAGAGGGTTGTAATTTCTCAAATGTGGAGAGAGAATCTGTTTTAAGTGTAAACCTCAAGGAGTATAAATATAATTTACCCTTTAAAAAAAAACAAAGGAAAAACTACAACTAATAAGAAAGACAATTTCAAACTAATTATAATATGGTATTTTTTTTCTTTTTTCGAATTCTAACAGACAGAAAAGAGATTTGCACCAAACACAATAAAGACTTTAATATTACAAACAAAAGACTTGCACTATCAAAAAAATAGAATTATTTTCCCACTATAAAACTGAAATGTAGGAAGAAAAGTAAGAAGTAAAAAAAGACCTGTGACCCATTCAAAATGCCCACAGAGCACACCTCTAGACCCCACGCTACACCCACTTGGCTAACCCCCTGCGATTATTTGTAATTGTAGTTATCATAACATTATTGACTTCTCTAAATTAGTTCACCCCATCTACATTGTAAGCAAATACATTATATAAAAATAAAATAAAATTAGAGGACAATTTTTTCTTACAAGTTGATATCACATGCAATAACAAAGTATTGATATTTGAAATGAACCCTCTAAAATTTAATGATAGGATAAACTCGATTGACACAACAAATTATAAATTTAGTAAGAAAATTTTATTAGTACAGCATTACTCTTTTTAACATGCAATTATGGTGAAACATATTTTTTCAGCAAAAACGCTTTTCACAAATATTTTTTTGAAAAACATCATTTTTGAAATCGTCTCCTCATGCATGGCTGCTACAAAATAATAAGTGGATTGAGGATGATCAGTTTGATCCTAGTTTTTTATTTTTATTTTTTTTGTTAAATACGATTATATACCCCTTATTAGTATTGGGTGGGTACAGCAGCTCTGGATGGCCTTCAAGAGATGTTAATTGCAGACAGGATGGGTGTATATGCTATTCATTATAAATAGCACTGATTCGGTTGCATAAACTTAATATAGATGCATCTCTATTTGGTAATATATTTAAAGAAACAACAAATAAACTTACTTGCAATACAAACCCAAGCCCGGATGGTATAGCATTGCCACGTCCGCAGCCAGTAGAGACTCTTCCTCCAAATCTACTGCTAATTATGATTCAATTCCGCTAATAAAGATTCATTCTCGGCATCATTTGCAAACCTTGATTGATTCTTCCACTGCTGCTTCAAAAATCAATTTCAATAGTTACTTTTTCAAAAAAAGGATATGAACAAGCAGAACATTGAACCAGAATTCCAAGTTTTCACCTCAGGCCATGGGCACCGGGGCAGGGCATGAAAACATGTACGTTTCCATCTTCATTTGTTAGATGAACAAAATAAATCATTTTGATTTAACCATATGAAAGGTTCTGAATGTCGCAAGCCAAATGAGATTCTTTTCCACAACAAATGCTTGATAAAAAACCCCCATATAGTATGCAATGGACACCAAGCTGAAAGAGATTTATATTTTCTGGTTTTATACATACACATGCTTCACCTCCTGAAACACTACTTTTTGCATCTGCCTCACCTAATTCACAATCCAGCATTCTGAAAGACATCATAGTCCCAACCCATCTGAAATCAATGGGATCTTCAATTATTTTTAAGTAACAGCCCCGCTGTATCAGAAAGGTCCAGACCTTCGGCGTTATACTCGTGATACAATTAAGAAACTCCCTTGATATGTCCTCAAACACTACATTTCGAGCTTGATTAAAAGCAAAGTTTGTTTCAAACATATTCACCAATGCACAGTTACAGCATTTATAACCAGGGAAATGTGGAAGCTCTGCAATAGTTAACCCCCGTTTTGCTAACAATTTCCACACAGAGCTTCTAGCAACATTTAGTAAGGACTCCCCAGCACTTGTCCAGAAATTTGCAACAGATGTAACTAGAGAAGATTCAGACAGAAATAGATGATGGGTAGCACCTGCAAGCAAAAAGGAGTATGCTGCACTAGTTCTACTCATATCAAAAGCTTCCAGCTGAAGTTTGTCCATTTCAGGATCCACTGCCAACAAATCACTTGCACGGGTTTTGTAGGCAGATGCCAGTGTGGTGTAGGCACTCAAAGAGAGATGGTGGAGGGGATGCAACCAAAATTGTTTCTTTGATTTTTCTTCTTTTGATTCAAACTGCCCATCAAGGAGACCATGAGTAAGCAAGTTCTCAAGCTTCTCACAGCAAGATTTGGGATTACCAAATGTCAAATATTCAGTTATGGCATCATCTACATTGTCAGTCAACCTTGTAATGGCCTCGTATCTGTAGTAGTTGTGATCAGAACTCAAGTTGGCACAATTGCAATTGACAGCAGAAATTTCCTAACCAACAAAACGATCAATGTGTTAATGCTAATTCACAAAGTTCAGTTAAAGGATTTGGGAATAGTTACATTCTCACATGAAAGAAAGGCATCATCTACATAGTCAGTCAACCTTGTAATGGCCTCGTATCTGTAGTAGTTGTGATCAGAACTCACGTTGGCACAATTGCAATTGACAGCAGAAATTTCCTAACCAACAAAACGATCAATGTGTTAATGCTAATTCACAAAGTTCAGTTAAAGGATTTGGGAATAGTTACATTCTCACATGAAAGGAAAATGTGAAGCTGAAAAAAGATTGACACAAAAGGATATGCTTACTACCATTTTAAAAAAAGTTTCGAAAAAGTTACTTAAACAGAAACTAAAAGTAGAGATAAAGACGAGGAAAGGAAGAAATCTTTTTCATAAGTTATGACTTAAATAAACAACTTTTTCTAGGTTGAATAGAAAAGAATTTCCAATACCATCTGGGTTCTGAGAGGAAAATTCAATTGTATTATAGGATATGACTAGCAAGAACAAAATAGTGATTGGAGGTGAAAGATATAAAATAATAAAAATAAATAAATGAAAAACTAGCAAAGCAATTGAAAGGTAAAAATTTTGCAATAGTTTAGATAATTTTCAGAGTGAAATACGTCATGAAGCAAACAGAAAATGAAAGGGCTGCTACAAAATATGTTTGTCAGCTAGAAATGACGAGGCACAAAGTCAGAAAAGAAGAAAGAGAGATTGAACAAGAAAAATAAATTAATAATAATAAAAAATTATAAGATGGGGCACAGACTCACAAAGATGGATCTAAATCAATAATTTTAGGCTTGGTTTGCGGTACACTAAATAATACAAAAAGTCAAAAAGTCACTATCCTATTTAAGTCGCATCATCTTATTTAAATCACATCACCTCTCTAATACATCACATCAAACCCAACTCAAACCCAACCCATATAAGCCAATAAGTCAAAAAGTGTACTTTTTTAGAACATCCCAAACCAACCCTTAGTTTCATGGAACTCTCACCTGCAAAGTATGATCCACATAAGTTGGGGGCCATGCATTACATCGCTGACAGGAACAAGAAAAGCGATACTTCAACCATAACTCTGACTGCCTCATCGCCTGGTGAAAAAAGAAAAACAAAATTGGCATATGAAAACATTCTGGATGATTGAACTATTGAACCTAGATAGATATGAAACTAAAATGCACTAGGAAATCATTAAGTCTAATAAGAAGGTTCTAAATAGTTCTAAAAGTTGATTTTGTTCTTGGCAGTGTTATTAAAGGCGCGCCTACGCGTGCGCCTAGGCCCAAGTCCCATCCAAGCTCAAGGTTTGTGCTTTGTAGTGTTCCAGGCCAGGCGACTTCGATAAGGCGCCTGACTAGTCCAAGGCACAATCAGGCCTAAGGCTTGTGTTTTGAGGGCTTTTTTATTATTGCTTTAATTGGTTTTGTTTAAAATCTAACCATTGATTAAATATGGTGAAACTACAGAAGATCTCTACTCTTATTACAAATGCCAATACATTAGGCATTCAATCCCAAATCAATGACAGAAAAAAAATTAACCTTAATTCCTAATCTCTGAAGAACTTTAAATGTTTAACATTTCATTTTGTTTATGTTGAACCTTAAATTATTTACTTATATTAAATTATAAATTTTTTTCCATACAAGGTGCGCCTCACTTCGGTGAAGCCTGCGCCTCGCCTTGAGCCTAGGCCCTAGGAGACCTTGACACCTTAGTGCGCCTATCGCCTTTAATAACACGGGTTCCTGGCCACTCATACTGGTATAAGAAGATTCACTGTCCATATTGATTGAGGCAATGTGACATGGAAGGACAGGCATACACTCGCGTAAGGCAGTGTTTACATAACCAGTGGGGAACCAGTGGGGAACCAGTGGGGAATGTAGCCAAGTCATGCATAAAACTATGTATCAGATGGATCATTATATGGCATGATGATACTCATAATCATTCTTAACTAGCCGCATTGGTGTGTGAGACTTCCCATGCATGTTGCAATGCCATTCTGCTATTATCCTATTACCATTAGTTTGTGAATCCACTAATCAAATAGCTCATGTGTTTATTCGTAATGGATTATGTATATACATTTGTGTGTAGCCATAATATGCAAGTCAGATTATGTAACCTCTGTGATTGAAGTAACAAAATTCTTCATTCTTTTAAATTCTATCTTAAACTAAATTAACCAAACTAAGAAAATTATCCTCTATTTATTTATTATTTAGAATCTGACAATTTTATACAAATACTTTTATCGAAGGGAAGAACTATTAGGTCAGGTAGTTAGCCCCAATGCTTATCTATATTTAGATAGTTGTTCTACAAGTTAGTTAGTGAACAAGTGATCAATGGGTTAGTTGAGTTGTTAGAAGTCGGTTTTCAACTCTACATATATACCTCAATGTCTCTGTAACAGATACGAAAGAAATCAACAATAAATTCCTAGTTTTTCATCTTCTTCCTCAAGATTGATTGTCAAGTTCTGTCGAGAACTACGAATTAACCCCAGCATATTTCAATTTTTCAACCACCCCAGGACTTCCCCCAAATATTACAAATAACTTCATCATTTTCCCCCCAAAATTTCCGAATAATCAAGACCATTAAAATATGATTAATTTTCTTTACCAAAAAAATAAGTCTTAAAATGTTTCCCAATCCCGAGTTACAATACAAACTACACTGAAGTAAATAATACCTGAATCCAAATTTTGTGGCCATCTAATTAGGCATTTAGTTAAAATTTCAAAAGATGAACATATTACACTGAAAGAAAATAATAATGAAGTTTATTTTCTTCTCCCACATTATAAATTAATTAATGGACTACATTCATTGTGGGTGTAACTTACATTTCACTAATTTTAAATCTACACCATACACTTACTTTTCGAGATAAAATTTGAAATAGAATAGCCACCTAGGGACATTGGTCCAATGGCATACTTAATGCATTGAAGCTCCACATAAGTAAATCATTGAACAGCCCTTCTCACTGATTGGGCCGCAGGCCTATCTCAATGTTTAGGAGAGCCATTGTTTATCAATCCAAGTACAAGTGAGCCGGGGGCTGATTGTATTGTTGTTTGGCTTTGGAGCTAGGTATGAAGGACCATGGGCCCTGCGGGGCCATGGTGCTGCCTGTTGCAGGGCTCTTCATATCTAGATATATTTGGGCTTGTATATATGCTCCCGCTTAGGCTAAGCATATAGTTTTGGTTCCGATGGCACATGGCGCCTATAGGGCTCGCCATGTATCAAACATACGACATGCCAGACGTGGTGCCTTATTGGTCTGCCACGTAGGTGGGGTTTTGGTGATGTGGCACCTATAGGGCTTGCCACGTATTGAGCTTGATACAAGTACCCACAATTGTCAAGTTCTGTCGAGAACTACGAATTAACCCCAGCATATTTCAAGTTTTCAACCACCCCAGGACTTCCCCCAAATATTACAAATAACTTCATCATTTTCCCCCCAAAATTTCCGAATAATCAAGACCATTAAAATATGATTAATTTTCTTTACCAAAAAAATAAGTCTTAAAATGTTTCCCAATCCCGAGTTACAATACAAACTACACTGAAGTAAATAATACCTGAATCCAAATTTTGTGGCCATCTAATTAGGCATTTAGTTAAAATTTCAAAAGATGAACATATTACACTGAAAGAAAATAATAATGAAGTTTATTTTCTTCTCCCACATTATAAATTAATTAATGGACTACATTCATTGTGGGTGTAACTTACATTTCACTAATTTTAAATCTACACCATACACTTACTTTTCGAGATAAAATTTGAAATAGAATAGCCACCTAGGGACATTGGTCCAATGGCATACTTAATGCATTGAAGCTCCACATAAGTAAATCATTGAACAGCCCTTCTCACTGATTTCTTTTGGTTAATTTGTTACATTGATATATAATAGCCCTTCTTATTGAGTAGCTGAGAACAAGTCTTATCCTTTCCAATCCAAGCGTACACAGTTTCCAATTCATTTACTATACCCCATGTAGGAGTATATTTACTTGAACACATGTTCTCCCATGCGCAAGTATATGTTGCATTGTCCCATGGAACTTCAATGGCAACAGCTAGAGTCCTCGTTAAAATGGAATCCAAAACAAAAAAAAACAAAAAAGTAAAGTAAAGTAATTGCACAGAAAATATAGTTTACAAAGAAGTTTTGACTTCATAAAGGTCCATTCAAATATCCCAAGTTGAAATACTCAAAATTGTATTGCAAACTTTCACTGTTATTGTTAAACTTGTACTGATTGATTTGTTTTGTAGGACCTACGAAGGAAATTAACCAAAGATAATAAAACAATTGATTTGAACATGAAAGCCCTTCTGTCAACTAGTGTAGGTTTGCCACCTTAGTATTTTTCTGTATTGTGAAATTTGTTATTTCAACTCTGTGTTGAATTTTTTTTTGAATTCGATTTTCTATTTAATTTTTAATATCTGATTACGCATGTGCTCTTATTCTATATTATGGAGTTCCTATTTTAATAATAACAATAATAATAATAATAATAATATTACAATGTTAGTTGGGTGCTTTATTTCTCCACTTTTTAATTACCAAGTGGTTTCTACATACATACACATAACAAAAGTAAAACAATCTGGTGAATTATATATTTAATAGTAATAAATCCAACCATATGATATGAACTACAATTATTTTATGTGATTGGTTTTGATTTACTTTCAAAATTTTAATGTTTAAACATTGAATAATGTTTATAAAAATATAGGATAACCTGTGAAATGTTTATACTAATTTGTATTCTTCTATCTTACATTCAATGCCCACTCATATGGTCTGGCCAATGCAACTATTATAAAAAGGTAAAACACAAAAAGCTAAAAACTAATTACCAAAAAAAAAAAAGATAAGAAATTTTACCATGTGCAATGCACGTGCACCTCTACTAATATACCTAAAGGCTAAATGTCTCAGTAACAGAGATGAAAGAAATCAACAATAAATCCCTAGTTTTTCAACTTCTTCTTCAAGATCGATTGTCAAGTTCTGTCGAGAAGTACAAATTAAGCCTGGCATATTTCATGTTCTCAACCACCCCAGGACTTCCCCCAAATGTTACAAATAACTTCACCATTTTTCCCCCCAAAATTTCTGAATAATCAAGACCATTAAAATATGATAAACTTCTTCACCAAAAAAGAAGTCTTAAAATTTTTCCCAATCCCAGGTTACAATACAAACTCCACTGAAGCGAATAATACCTGAATCCAAAATTTGTGACCATCTAGTTATGCATTTAGTTAAAATGAACATATTCCACTGAAAGAAAATAATAATAATAATTACACATTTGTATAAAATTTAATAGGGAGAAGACCAAAATACCTTAGGTTGCAACAAGTCAGTGTAAGCAACAGATACCTCCTCACCCTTGTTAATCGCCTTGATACTTCCAACAATTATTCTGGGACCATATTCCTTAGCTCTCACTGCATCATAATTAACACAAAACACAAAAAAGAACTACACTGAATTTGAAAGAATAGCTCATTTCTCATTTTTGGAAAAATATAAACAATGAATTACCTTTTGTTGATTCACATTTGTTACCATTTCCCATTTCTTCAATTCCATCACTGCTGGCAGGAACAATGCGCGACCATGACGCGCCACCGGAACACTCATTCTGCTGCAAAAACCAGTAACAAGCATTGGGGGAGCAGCTGTGATTGATCCACGAAAATGTCGTATCGTACACAGCAATCCCAACGGCGGGACCTCCTCCGCTAATCTGAACCTCCACGGCGTTCGTTAACACCACACACAACACCACCTCTTCCAATACACACTCCCCTAACCCCGAGCATTCTAAAGCCAAACCGTCTCGCATCCTTCTCGCCATCGCCATGGCCTTCGCGCCATCCTTAATCCTCGCCAAAACGTCGCCGTCTTCTTCTTCGTTCAGGGAAGACATCAATTTATCGCGATTGCTCATCAAACCGCCAATTCTCTCAAACTGGTAGTTTTGGCGGGAAATAAGGTTGAGGAGCTCGAAGCGGCGGATGAGGCGGAGGGCGGCGCGGAGGTCGGAGGTGTCGCAGCCGCCGTGGAAGTGGCAGCAGAGGAGGTGGTGCTCGGCGCTGGAGAGGTGGAGATCGGAGTCGGCCTCGGAGCATTGTGGGGAGCAGTAGAGGACGGAGGAGGAGGAGGAGGAGGAGGAGGAGGGGTTGGGGAATGGAAGGTGGGGAGGAGGAGAGAGAGGAGAGAAGCAGGCGGAGCAGTGAGAGAGGAGGGAGGAGGAGTGGAGTGAGAAAGCGAGGGGAGCCAGTGGAGGGGTTAGATCTTGGCCTATGCTGATGTCTTCGCTCGCTCTGATCTCCATTTTTTTCTTGTTCTGTCACTGAACTTAGAAGAAATATCAGATTGAAGCAGCCCGTTTGGATCCGATGATTTGAAGAGAATATAAAATGGAAAACAAGGCAGTGTTTTGTTTGGCCCTTTGGAAAAAGAGGATTTGATTTACTTGAGTTCTTGGTTAGAGGCTTGTAACTATCCCTTTGAACTAGTAATCCCATGTGATAAAACCAATAAAACTATGGAGGGTTGAAATTAGAAATTGAGTGAGAAAATTGATAAATTTTTAAGTGATTTTTAAGTAAAAATTATATTTTTTAGAATAAAAAAATAATTATGATATTAAAAAATATTAATTTTATATATTAAATATTATCTATGTTTGTATGTGCATTTGTCCTCATTTCCATTGCGTCTTGGCCACTGATTTGGGCTTATTTGAGAGCTGTCCATTTTGGTTTAAGACCGCTCCCTCATGTTGTTGCATGCTTGCCTTGCATGTTGTTACATGTTTATCATTGGTATTGCTGTTGCATGCTTATTGCATTGTATGCTTGCATGCTTATGTCACTTTGTTAAGTTCGTCATACATATATTACATTGGTCTAAATATGCTTGCTTCACATGTTGTTACATGCCTTGCATATTTATATGCTTAAGGCGCATTTTGCATGCTTGTTAGCTTGCATTTTGTCATGTGCTTGATATGTTGTCACATATTCTTGCATGTTTGGATGCATGTTAGGTTACATCGCATTGCATTGGTCATGCTCATGCTACATTGACTTAACTTGCATGCTTAGGTTGATTACATTGGGTTGCATTGCACATGTTGCATTACATTGGTTGCATGCTTTCCATTGTATTTGGTACACTTGCATAGCATTGTGTTTGGTTTGGGGTGTCAAACCAAACACAAAGATCGAGGGACGTTTCTTACTTGAAGTGATGAAACGTGCCTCAATCCTTGGTCACCGACACTCTTGATCCAACATGATAGAGTTTAAGGCATTATGTGTTTTGTGCATTTCATTCACATTGAATTGCATTAATTTGCACACTTGGCTCCTTTGGCCATCATGCGTTGAAATGCGTGATTGATGGCCCGAGGTCGAGGACCATACTCCTTTGAGTCTTAAACATGATAAGGAGGGTGACGGTACAAACATTGCCTTGAAAATGCATTGCCATGCTCTTTCTGTCCTCTGTTGCAGCAAGAACAGCATTCTGCAGGAAGAAATGGTCGGTCGACCATCTTCAGTGCCGGCCGGCTACGAATTGTTGGCCGAGATCCCCACAAATGGTCGATGACCAGTTCCACTTGGCCGGTGGCCTTGCCTTTCGGCCGGTGACATCCCACAGTGCTCAGGGAGTGGTTCAGGAGCATCCTTGAGACTTGTGCAGTCTTCAGAGGTGCAGAGTAGTGCAAACAGAGGCAACAGAAGCATGGCGATAGATTTCCAAGCAGAGCCCAGCATGCATGCATTTGTCCCTCTTCCCGAGGCCTCTTTACTGCCTTAGTAGCTTAATTGATTCGTTTAATTACTTAAGTGGTCTTGTAATTAATTAGCTTGCGAGTTAGTTAGTTAGGTGATTTGTATTATTCTTTCAGACCCTCCGTCGAGAGGGCCAATTTTGTAATAAGTGTGCATGAGTGTGTGTATGTCTTCCAAACCCACGTCTTTCTCCCTTTTATTTACTAGCTTTTGATGGCTTGTTTTAGGGCACGTTTCAATTAGCATACTTACGCTCGCATGTTTGCATTCATTCATTCATCTTGCATGCACCGGGCTCGGCGCATCATACTAATTGCATCGTATTTCAATTCCTATTTGAATACATGTATCGACTGTTGCATCTCATATGCCATCTTAGAATAGCCGAGCCCATCTTAGTTGCATTTTGCATGTGTTGCATTAGGCATTTCAGCATAGTTAGGATTCATGCATGATTTCTAATTAGTTTCTTTCTTTGGCTTGGAGTACACTGTAAGTGTTTATGCTTTAGCATCCTTGCATGCATGTGAGTGACTGCCATGATAGCATGCTTGCCATGAGGCTATTTGCTTATGTGATATAACTGCCTGAATGCCAGTGGGTGAAAGTTGGATTACTTGAATTGGAACAACTCATCAAATGCGAGTTTTAAGCCCACTTGAGAGTGGCAAAATCATGTTTTTCTATGCCCACCTGAGGGTGGCAAATTCACGTCTTAGCCTACTTGCGAGTAGCACCTTCAAACCATTTTCAAATAAACAAACATGAGATGTTTTGTTCCAATTTGGGCAATCTAGTCTTTACTTGTATGATGTGTGCATCACGTAGTAAATTCTAGGCTAATAACCGGAATAAGAACACAAGTGTTTTCAAAAACAAGATATCATGCTTAGTAGAGGCCGATCTTTGATCGGGTGAACAGGGGTGCTCATTGCATGACCTTCCCCAATCGTACCCAAGTTCCCGAGCCGAGGTAACTTTGGTGATGACGGACACGTGGCCTTAGGCAATGAGTCAGGGTTTCTTAATTTCCCCAAAATAAAATATTTAGGTGGCGACTTTGTATCTAGCAAAGCAGTCCATGTCTGGCACTTCTTTCTAAAAATCAGTTTTCCAAAACGATTTGCCGGATTTGGACTCTTTGGTGATTTATCAATCTTGCATTGCACTTTATGAGACTAGAGTCAAAACCGTGACATTTGAGTCCGAACTGTAGCAGCAAGGCCCTCGAGGGCGCATCTACAGTTTCTGGCGACTCTGTTGGGGATTTAGAGAACTTGACTCGAACTCATGATATCTGGTTTTGACTTCACTTATGTGTCTCTTTGCATTGCATTTGTATTGGTGCACCTAGGGCACTGTGTTTGCCATTTGATATTCCTGAGCAATTTGTCAGAGGCTCTCTTTGAGAAGCGTGCCATAAGGCTAACCGGTTACAGGCTTTGCCATGATGGGAACACAAACCCCAGTTTTACGGGGGCACTCTTTTTGACCATTCGACCTAGTGCATATTTGGAATCCATAGTGACCATCCCAAACTAGGACAAGTTGCTTACCCGATTATAGGTTGTTTGAAACTGCTGTGTGCAAAGTGAAACCCTAGTTCTTGACGAAACTAGGACCGGAAAACCCTACCCCCCAATAGGGGTGTTTTTGGCTCTCACTTGCTGCTATGTGCTTTTTAGAGTGTGCCACTACAGGTTGCATGTATTAGTTTGCAAGTCTGGGTATCAGGCTTATGGGCATCAGTGTTTTAAGAATCAGTTATGTCCGCGGGTATCAGATTCAGATTTGGGGCAGTGGTTTGGAAACAATGATCAGTAGTTGAGAACAATATATTTAGCTTACAAATGCCAACTGTGTGTTGTCATACCGACTGTGTGTTGTATTTATTTAAGTCGTTATGCTGTTCATTTTTCTGGTTGTTTATTTCCTTATTATGCTTTACTTATCTTTTTGCTAGGGTAGTTTAGCACAATTGCTTCTGACCAAGTAGGTATTCCCTGAGCACTCTGGACTAGAGGTCATAGACTCCATCGATCTGAGGATCTAATAGACGGACAACTAGTGTTCCATTCTTTACCCCCGGTTGCTAGACAAAGGTTAGTAAGGCACAGTGTATCGATACCGCGGTTGCCAAATCAGTGGTCCTTGAGTAGTCTAGTTGAGATTTCCGAGTCTACTGCAGAGACAGATATACCAGTGGTTCAGTTAGATCAGGGTAGTATGGCAGGAATGGAAGAGATGATGCGTCAACTCCAGAAAAGTATGAAAACCATACAGCAGGACGCTGTCCGTCAAGCAGAATTTTCCAAACAACAGGCCGAAGTCATGGCCCAACAGGAAGAGTTAATTACCAGGCTACAGAAGCAAGCCGGAGCATCTGCTTCACACCAGGTTCCTCCCTCTGGACTAGAGGTCGTAGACTCCATCGATCTGAGGATCTAATAGACGGACAACCAGTGTTCCATTCTTTACCCCCAGTTGCTAGACGAAGGTTAGTAAGGCACAGTATATCGATACCGCGGTTGCCAAATCAGTGGTCCTTGAGTAGTCAAGTTGAGATTTCCGAGTCTACTGCAGAGACAGATATACCAGTGGTTCAGTTAGATCAGGGTAGTATGGCAGGAATGGAAGAGATGATGCGTCAACTCCAGAAAAGTATGAAAACCATACAGCAGGACGCTGTCCGTCAAGCAGAATTTTCCAAACAACAGGCCGAAGTCATGGCCCAATAGGAAGAGTTAATTACCAGGCTACAGAAGCAAGCCGGAGCATCTGCTTCACACCAGGTTCCTCCCCCACCAAGAGTTCCCATACCTGGGGAGACAATACACATCTAGGATGACACGGACGTTCCAACAGGGCCAACTCCGCCCCCGATCCTACCCCAACCACCCAAAACACAGACCAACCTACCGAATTCTCCCTTTGAGTTCGAGGTGGACCCCATGACGCTAAAAGTGAGCAAGCTTGAAAAGCTGTTCAAGAAATCTCAGGGTGTGAAGTCCATTCCGGACATCGAGGATGGATACACCGACTCAGCCGTGACTCTGCCAGACCGATTTAAAATGCCGCACGTAGACCGTTTCGATGGGTCTAGGCATCCCATGGTGCACCTACGGCTGTTTTTAGATATCTTAAGGCCGATGGGCCTCACCAGATTACAGAAGCTTTCTTTGTTCGGCCGGACCTTGTCGGGTGTAGCGGCCATTTGGTATGCGAAATTGGAAGATTCCGTCAAGAGGAACTAGGAGGAGATGGCCGAGGCCTTCGTGGCTCAATACTCTTATAATACACAGATCGAGATCACAACCCGTGATCTCGAGACGACTAGGCAAGAGCCGAAGGAGAGTTTCTCCGATTTTGTGACCCGCTGGAGGGCCAAGGCCTTGATGATGACCATTAGGCCAACTGACAAAGATCAAATACGGATGGTTGTGCGCAACCTCCAGCCCAAGCTCATGCAAAAGATGATCGTCCTCCCTCTCCCCACTTTTGGAGATCTACATGAGATTGGGGTGCAGATCGAGGACGCCTTGAAATAGGGTCTGATTGACAATGACAGAGAGCAGCCCAGGAGAACTTTCAACCGCGGTATGAATGTAGGCATAAGCAGTGCTGCAGTTGCCAGAGCTTCAGATGTGAGCTTGGTCACCACCACCACCCCAAGAACCCTTACAGCTACACCATTCACCGGCACGTCCGGAAGTAACTCACAAACAA